AACATACACTGCTTTTTAAAGTGAAATCCAACATGTATGTACACATATCTTGTAATTTGAAGTGGATTGATAATAATATTTACCATATAACTTTTAACTGACATATTTTGTTAATGAAAATATTAACAATTTAAAAAAATAAATGATTTTTAAAACCTTTTAAAATTTTAAACTCACCATTTGCATTGTCCTGCACCATTGTGGCAGCGCGCGATAAAACATCCAAAGCTGTTTCCATTTTGATAAACTCTGCTACGCGGCGTTGTTCTTTTCTTGCAGTTATTATTTAAAATAATAATTTTACTTTATTTTGAACTTATTTCGTTTAACTTTTTATATTAAACTGATTTTAAATAATTTATTGCACAAGAATATGTTAAAATTACTTTAGAGAGAAGCGCGACGACGCTTTGTCTGTGAAGCGAGTAAAGCAAATCGTAGCAAAACAAATAAAACAAAATTGAAAATTGCAACAATTTTTTGAAGCAAAAATAAAAATCGATAATGCACTTGCAAAACGAAAAAGAAACCGCGATGAGTGGGATGGCCGTAACGAGTGCGTTATAGGCGGGTCAAGCGGGTGTACTGTGCACAAAAGACGCGAAATGAATTAATATGCTGCATTTAACGAGAAAGTGTTGCGAGGCCAACAAGCACTGAAATGGAAAGAAGAAATTTTTTTTGTTAAAGTCGTTTAAAATTATTTGTCAAAAATTTTTGTTATTATTTAATATAATAATGCGAGAAATATATATAAATAAAATTAGCACGAAATTTTAGAAAAACACAAAAAACCGGCTAAAATGGAAGATGACACCACAGTGCACGAAGCGAAAGAAGTTACCAGTTACCAATTGCCAATTGCCACCACAAATATGAACACATGAACAGCGGAACAGCGCAACAGTGTTGAGCATATGGACAAAGTGTTGAGCAGGCAAAGTTGTTGTGGCGAAGATGGCAACATGTTGTACTGCAACTAGAGCAGATAAGAGTGAGAAAAGAGTGTAGTGGGAATGTCAGGAAGGCAGAAGCACGATGTGGTTTTGGGCAGGTTTATGCAAACGAATGAAAACAAAAAGAAAATAACAAAATAGGAATTATGTTTAACAACAGCAAATAATTTTCGAAAGTGCACGAAAAATATGCTTTGTTTATGGTAAGCGTTGTGACTTGTGGCTGGCTTGGTTAACACGATTTTCACAATATATTTGTGGAAAATTGCATTACGAGAAAAAACAAAACATTTTTTTTTAGTAATAAAAAGTATTTTGATATGTAATTTCGTTTTGAAGACTTTATTTATTAATACAGAATTGTGAATTGTGAACGACGAAAATTGTTGACGCTAACTTCAGATGTGACTCATCTTAGAGTTATAAAATATTGCTTTCGAAGTAGTGTCATCGGAGTGTATGTAATTTTTATGCTTCACACAAAAGCTAAAATACAATTTGAAATGCATATAAAAGTTTGTTCATTGCAATAAACCAATAGGAAAAATGCATTTAAACATTTGATATGCTGCATTCCAAATCGCATTCAAAGAAAATTTCATTTAGCAACGCTTGCGGTAAAAACAAAAACGTATATTTAATAGGAGTTGTTGGTTTTTATGTATTAACCAACAAAAAAAATATTAAAATATATATTATAAATAAATATATACTATTACGTATTTGTTTTATTTCAAACAAATGTTTACCAAACAAAATAAAAAAAAGTTTATTTTATATTCTACATTGTAAATTTTTTTGAAATTTTATTTATATACATAAATAACTTATATTACCTTTAAACAACAAAAAATTCCTGAGTAAAAATTAAAGAAATTACACAGCCAAAAATGTAGAGAACAAACAATATTGTCGAACGCGGGGGGTGAAACGTAGAGTTTAGTAACAACTGCAATTATTTCTATTGTTTGCCAAATTTTTTTCACATATTTTAATGGTATTCACTTTTATATTTTATTATATCACACACGTAATTCTCTTTAAAGAAAATATTTTAATTTATCTTGTTTTAAATTGAGGAAAATTTCACAATACCTCCGCAAATAATTTCTATAGGTTCAGCGGAATGCAAAGAATTTTAGGAATTTCAGTTTAACAAAGATAGCAGCGCCAGCGAAGACAGCGAGCAAAAATTGTAGCAAAGAATGACAGCTGGAAGTAGCATTGCCATAAGAGAGATATATTTTTAATATCATATAAAATATTTTAATGTAAAAATATATTCTGAAATTAATATATGATATATTTATGTTTTATTATGACTTATTTTAATTATATTAATAGAACTAAAATATAGTAAATATTAATTTATAATTTTTGTTTAATTTAACAAAATGAACTCAGTTCATTTGAAAAGTGGTGTAAAAATAAATCTGGACAACAATTTTAAATTTTGTATTGATGTCCTTATTTACATTATTATTAAATTGAATTATTTAACAATTATGAAAATGATTTGAAAATTGATCATGCATAGTTTTTGTATGCATATGTATAAGTTTTCAAAAGGAAAAACATCTAAGAGAAAACAACTGTTTGTATCAGTGAACGTTTGTATAATTAATAGAAGTAATTTGGGTAAAAAACATTTAATTTGCACACGTGTAGTATGAAATTTATATTTAGAGAGTTAACATATATAACTCTGGTAGTTTTTTATTTACTACATTTTTACTATGGTCGATGCGTTTTCGTAAGCAATGATCTCATCAACTTACACACGAAACGAAAACCATGCGGTGAAATAAACGTTATACTTGCTCACATTCTTTGTTCAATGTAATATATACGCAAATGTGTGTTAGCAGAGCAACTATTAAATATGATGCGGTTCAATGAAAATGCTAAAGAAGTTACAAATGAAAGCGTAAAGTTGTGGTTTAAATATAAAATAATCCCCATGGACCTGCTCAATAATATATGAAACAAGCCTTCATAACTTCTGGACCTTGATCTGAACGACAACGTCCGCGTGGATACGATAATCTCACCTAACAATTGTGATTACAACAACACTCTGTACAAAGTTTACTCTTAATCAGTAATTACTACCTATCAGCCTTTCCCTGGATCAGTGGAATGGTGTTTCAGCTTTTGTCCAATTGCTGTAATTTGTTCATTTTGCATTTCTAACAGTTGGTTTTACTAGATTCAACCGCTTTTGATGCTTACCATCTACCGGCAACAAAAAGAAAAAAGATAAAACAATAAGGTTATTCACTATGTCTTGAAAAGTTATAGTAAGGTGTACGAAGTGCAAGAATGCTGTACCAAAATTGCCAAAGCGCGAAAACATATATCTTGCAGAATTTCAACATCAAAATGAAGTAGCAGTTTTTGCTGCATACTACATTCATATAAGAAGCAACAGTTGTCAAAAAAGCTGTTTCTTTTTTTTTTGATTTCATTGTCAGCATATATACATGTGTTTAGGTATAGTAAGATGTCAAACCATTCCAAGAAATGCTAAATGATATTTTGCTGTTGTCCATTGTGCAATCTGTACATTTCGTGCATAGTGCAATGAGTTAACAAGACAGAGTTAATGCCCTTAATATTTTGCAAATAAAAAGCAGCTGAAATATGTACATAATGTACATAATATGCAATTGTGATCCGCAAATTGTCATTGTTTTCTGGAATTCTACGGAACACATATAAAAGTAATTGGCAATGCATCAGAAAAATAGACATAAGCTCTATGTAATAACTACATATGCATATAAAGTAGTTTTATGTCAATTTTTTGTGTGAAATTGATATTAATATTAAATATTTACCTTAAGGCTGCAGTTACATTGCATGCGAATTTTGTCTTGTCTGTTCGTACGAACAAATCAAATGTATGTAATCATATGTGAGTGGTTCCACTTGCTGAGAATTATTCGCGCGACGTCTTGTCTTTCTCATGCGAATATTTAATTAAACAAAATATTTTGTTTGAAATTCATTCGTTCGTTCAAAATAGAAGATGTAAATAGTGAAATTGAAAGATGTCTGTCATTTTCACTTAATTTCGAGTTTATAAACGAAAATAAATTTTAAAACATGTACTACTTTTAGGAAATGGATTATGATATGGTAATTTCTTTGTTTGAGGAACAGACAAACTCTCCATTTTTATATCTTGAATAAAAATTTTGCACCCAAATTCATCTTTTTGAGAACAAATTTTTTGCTAAATATATTTCAACTTCAATTTACATTTTGTTTTAAAAACAAACAAAACAGAACTGTCGATTCGCAAGCAATGTAACCGCAACATGGTATGTGTTCGCAAGAGAAAATATATGTACGAACACGCAAGACAAAATTCGCATGCAGTATATTCGTAGCCTAATACAGCTCATCATATAAAAGAGTCGCATTGTCAACCACATTTTTTATTTTCTTTTTATATTTGACATTCAATTGGAAACCAAACTGAATAAATTACTAGTTCATTATAGTTCATTATTAGCATTATTACTGTTGCTAGTGTTCATAATTCTTATTCTTATTTTAATTAAATGCCATATACCAGCATTTTTTCATAATATCTTATTTATTACATATTATACACTTAATTTATTTTAATAGATAGATTAATACGAATTTACTAATTTAATAAACTTTCATGAAAGTTAATAATTATTAGCTTAATAATTAATATTGTAAATTAATTCCAAAAATTTATATTTATATTAACATGAACTAATAAAATATAAAGTGTTGGCAACAAGGAAATATTTTCTTCCGCCATCTGTTGTCAAATTGTTTTGCGCATTTTACAACAAAATACAACAAACACACAACAACAATAACAATACCCCAATCAAACGGTAGCCCCAATTGACAAGTGTTATTGCTCTTTTATTCATGGCTTGTTGTGTCTTGGAATTTGCAAGAAATAATTGGTTTTAGTGATTTTACTTTATATTATATGAATAAATATTATTAAGAGACGTGAAATAATTTTCCTAATATAATTTTTATATAAATAATATATATAATGTGTTAGTAGTGTAAACTAAAAGTAAAAATTCCAGAACATAAGAAAAATCAATTATTTACTGCGGCAGCAACTTGTCATTGCTGAGTATAACTTTTGCGGGGGAGTTCGTATGTGCTACCATTCATTCACATGGAATTAATTTACACAAACCAAGGGAAATAACTGACTGCATTAAATCAATTGGAAAAAAGAGTAAAATTGCCTAATAAGAAAAATCGGAAAAACAACAATTACAGAAGTTTAGTGAAAGCGTGTGAACGTGTAAAAATAAAGTAAAATTCACAGGTGGGGGAATTTATTTATATCCACCAGTTTGCGGTGGTACACTTAGTCTCAAGGTCGTCAAAGTCTAACACACAAATATGGCCATCAGTTTTGAGAAGCATCGAGCACAAATTCTAGCCGCTTGGAAAGATGTTCTGGACGACAAAAGCACAACAAATTGGTAAGAATGTTTTTAAATATACAATACAATATATATAGTAATAAGAATATAAATTTAAATAGTTTAATAATTTATTATTGTTAATGATTAATTGTTAATAATAAATAAAAGATATTAGAATTTTAGAATATAAAATGAGGAGCTATTATTATATTCTATGTTAATTCTTATAAAATTTTTTATTGTTTTAAAACAAAGAGTATTATTCATAAAGTCTGTTGCTCTTGTTAAACAGTTGTGAATTTATCAAAAAAATAATTTTTAAAAATAATAAACTTAAGAAACCACACCCAATTTCTTTACAGGTTTTAAATTACTTTTATTTTTTTTTTCGTTTGCAAAAGCAAATTTTTGATTTCTATTTAATTCAGTTTAGCATGAAAATTTTTTTTTGTATTATTTTAATTATGAAGTTCTATGAATAAATTTTCTCAATTTGCTTGAATTGCGTGGTTTTCGTTATGCACTTCTTCACATTTATGGAATTAATTAACCTCTGACATTTCTTCTTTGAAAAGGTCACTCTATGGCTATGAGGGACAGACGAATGAATTAAAAGTGGTGGCCAGTGGTGAAGGCGGTTTGGAGGAGTTATGCGAAGACTTAAATAGTGGAAAAATCATGTACGCATTTGTGCGTATAGAAGATCCAAAAACAGGACTCAAGAAATTTTTGTTAGTGAATTGGCAAGTAAGTAAAAATACTATAAAAATAAATAAAAAATATATGTATGTTGAGGCTAGCTGAGTCAGTGCACTTGAAAACATTTACACTCTTGCGTGACTCCTTTGGATGGTGTTGAACGGCACTTGATTGTCTTTGATGAGTAGCTCCGGGACATAGAGCCTGTCATTCTTGGGCTACAACAACAACAATAACTTTTACTCTTTATCAACTAACTCTCTACTAATCCAGTCTCTACGTCTTGACTGGATTATTATTTATCACTTCATCTGATTAAGCAATATCTGACCTAAGATCTGCATACCTCCCCAAGGAGCCTGTAACCATTCAAAGATTTGATAACGCGGTGTTAGTAACCTGTTCTGTGATCGGATCGTTCTTGAGTTTCCTGAGGATATCATTCGTCCTTGAAAAGTCACTTCTCATGTCACCTTGAAAAGTTTTCTCAAAGCCTGGCTTTGTGCAATTTCCAGCTGGCGAATGGTAGTGGTTGAGGTCTTGCTGAATGCTACACACCTATATAGAAGTGTCGGTCTAATTATTTGGTTAAACAAACTATATAAAATCAAAAAAATTATATAAAATTCAAACCAAAGCTATTTTGTATTTATAAATAAATTTTCTAAAATTGATTAAAATTCTTAGTCATATAACATAATCTCCAATATTATTCCATTTAAAGTGTTGCAATAAATAATATTTACCGGCCCTTCTCGCTATTGATAAATTTAAAGAAAACACATTTTTTATCTTATCTAAAGTTCAAAATTTATAATTACGTTTTATGTACAAATAAACTTCAATGTTAAACAAAAAATTTCTTATCAATTTATAAAAATATTAATAATTAAAAATTATTTTTTCCATACAATAGGGTGAAGGAGCCCCAGTTTTGAGAAAGGGTACTTGTGCTAATCACATACATGATGTAACGAAATTATTATCTGGAGCTCATTTAACAATAAATGCACGAAACGAAGACGATATGGATTTGGAACGCTTATTAAAAAAACTAAGCACAGTAAGTTCGGCATACAGCTTTAAGGAACCACGCTCAATTGTTGAGGAGCAGAAAACGCCAGTTGGCACCAATTATACACGTGTAATACCAACAAAAGAGCTGAATCCTAGCGTTATGCAGGATTTTTGGAAAAAAGAGGAGGAGGAAGAGAAACGGCGTGTGGCTGTAGAGAAGGAAACTAAACGTTTACAAATAGAGAAACTGGAAAAAGAACAACGTGCACGTGAAGAAAAAGAACATCAAGAACGTGAAAAGAAAATTATTAGTACCACTAAATTGCAGTCTGCACATGTGCCTATAAAAACGTAAACATAACTTATATTGGATACACTTAAAAATATTTAAACTTTAACCATTATTTTTTGTAGATCGCCACAACCATTAAGTCCTGAAAAAACTGTTGCTGGTTTTAGTACCGGATTGACTGAAGCTGAACGTATGCGTCAGCTACGCAATCAAGAGGCCAGAGAATTGATTGGTTCGCGTGTGGGCGCAGCAAAAGCTATTTTCACAAAAAATACTAGTGAAGGACAATTGCAGACAAAGTATATTATTTCTCTTTTTATATAATATTAATATAATATATTTAATAAAATAAAATTATTATTATTTAGACTTAATACCGCACCGCCAGCCAAACCTGCACGTACTTCAATTGCACAACGCATAAATGCTTTTAATCAACCACAACAACAGGAAGAGCAACATTATCAAAAGGCTCCAGCCAAAATTGTACTTCCTAAAGTGAATGTAGATACATCCAGTAATATACAAAATACAAACGAAATGACAGCTTCGAATAATACAACAACTGCAAATTCCATAACATCATCAACTGCTAGTAACGGCGAACTTGAGCAACCTGTTAAACCAGAAATGACAGCTATTGCTAATAATGATGATATACAGCCAGTGGATGATTACTTGGTAGACAATGAAGAGCAATTTTCAACTATTAAACGTTCGCCTCATAGCAAATCAAATTCCTTACAATCTCCCGATGAGACATCATCATCAAATGCTACAGATACTGCTGTATACCAGGATCAAGATGATGATGAAGAGGAAGTTGTGCGCACAAAAGTTTCTGTTACAGTGCAGCAATCTCAATCGACGAAGAATGGCATGATTACTTCTTTAGAGAGAAACGAATGTAAGTTGAATTATTAATTCCATGTACTTTATGTGTATATAGCAACATAAGTATTGCTAACCAACATTTTATCTAATATTACTCTTCCAATATTGTTATCTTTTAAAAATATTTTAATTTTTGAAACAAACATTTTCTTTCTTTAATGTGATTTTAACTAAATCATTTGTTCGAATATTTTCTTTAAATACATTGGATTAGAATTCTCTTTAAGGTATGGAATATTTACTAATATATTTAGTGCAGAAGTTGCTTGCTTAGTACAAAATGTATTTGATTAATACCAACAATAATTTATTAAAAAAAAGCCTTTACTTACATTCAGTTGTAAGCTAGATTGCTTAAAAGTTAGTACTTCACAAAGGGCTATTAATTTAATACATATAATACGAGTATATAAAGTATCTTAGATTTTGCTATATTTTAAATAAAAAAAGTTTAAATCTGGCTAGAATTTTTCTTATCGATGCCTAAGTGAAACGGTCTAAGTGAAGAAATAAAGTGGTTTCAAAAACGGCTGGGTCTACGTCCCTGAGCCACTCATCGCCAGCGACGACCAAGTGTCGTTCAACACCCCCAAAGGAATTTCGCAAGCAGGTCCCAGTGGATTACTACAACAACAACAAGAAGAAAAAGAGTCTTTTTATCAGCAATCTTAATCTGTTTTTATAATATCACCGTGTCTGCCATAAAATTCTATGGATTAGGGCTTTATTGCCGAATTAGTTGGATTATAACAAAATCTTTTAATAACCACAATTTGGAAAATTGATACACAATTATTAAATTTACAACTAAGTCTTATGAATAACTGAATAAATGCTAAAGTGCGGCGCTTATAGTCCCACACTTTAGTTAATCATTTTGTTAAAGAATTGGTTAAACTATATAATTATTAAGAGACATGCCTTCTGAATAGAAGTAGAGCTAAGATTGTCGAGAAGTTACCTGATACCACCTTAACCCATTTTAAAATTAAATTTAATTTCTAATGGCCTAAACCAAAGTCGCCTTTTTGAACGGACGGTGTTAGTAGGTCTTGATTAATACAAGGCGTTTGTTACAGTCTCCCGTAGCATCTTACTAAATGACTTGAACAAAACACTTATCAGTGATTTAACAAAATAATGGATCTGTAACTATCTTATAGGGTCTAAAATCCTTCGTTAATTTTAGAGGCAAGGTGTCGAAAGCTATGAAATTGATACAAGGTGTCCCCCAGACAATTTTGTCTTCACCGATCCTATTCAATCTGTACGTATCCAAAATTTTGGATAAAATTAAATCTATTATATGCTACTTACCTATATTAGTTTAAATTAAAGTTTAAGTATTTATTATATATCATATTTAATTTAAGTATTAAATTTAAATTAAAATAGTATAAATATATGAATTAATCAATTGGATTATTTACACTATAGTGGCTGATCTTGTTAATGAAGATGATTTCATATGCCAAGATTCTTTAGGCGATTTGGGGTTGAGAGCAAGAGCTTTATATGATTATCAAGCAGGTAACTATGGATTTCTAAAATAAACATAAAACAAAAATTTTATTAATAATTTTCTTTAAAGCTGATGAGTCTGAAATAACTTTTGATCCAGGCGATATTATAACGCATATTGATCAAATTGATGAAGGCTGGTGGCAAGGGCTTGGACCCGATGGAACATATGGACTGTTTCCGGCAAATTATGTCGAAATTATTAACTAAAAAGGGAATTAATAATTATTAAAAATCAATAACAAAAATAAAAAACAAATAAACATTTTATAGAGTAAAAATTCGAGTCAATAACCATAATTATTATGGCAATACAATTTTTCGTATTATTATTTTTTTTACAAAACACAACTTATTTTATGCTAAGCCAATGTATACATTCTTAAGCATTTTTAGAAATTATTAATAATTTTTAATGAAAACTTGAAACTAGTAAATAAGCAGCACACATCTCTCTCTCTCTCTCTCTCTCTCTTAAAGTCTTTATCAAGAAATTTATACTGCAATATAGACGTAAACATATATAATCCATTATACTATAAACCTATTTATATTTATGCGCAACATTAATATAGTATTTAAAGACCCTAGTGCCAAGCATAAACTTTATTGTTCTTTATTACATTAGAAATTTAAATTATTTTTCATTATTTATCAATTTTATCATAAAATTTTTCACGCGGCACTTTTTAATAAATTTTGTGTATTTATATATGTTTTTTGTAATATCATTTTTATGATGTTTATTATAATTAATAAGATTTTATACATTCTTTTATAATATTTTGTACTTTATTATGTCAAGATTGCGTCCTTAATCATCACTAATTTTTTTAAAGTATTATATATTATTATTATATATTTTCATTTGTTATTGTTATAAATTTGTAATTTAAAGTATTAAAATGAAATTATTAGCCTGTCAATAAATTAACTTAAAGTTAAAAGTATATGGAATTTGAACAAATAACTGAGATTCATACTTAACAAATAAAATACATTTTTACTTTATAATAAAATTATTAATAATATGTAATATCAAAGTCTTAATATGCAATTTTTAAACATATGATGTCCTAAAACAATTTAATAAAAATTTTTGAGATTTGTAGGTTATAAAAATTATATTAAAAAAATCATTTTTCACCTGTTATTTCGAAAAATGCTTATCCACAATATTTTTGATCGTGTATTTAATATATTTATTGTATAACAATAAAAACTAATAAATAAATATACAAATTAAAATTAATCTATTTAAATTACTTACATTTGTTATAAACTATCGGACAGAAATTATTATATATAGTATTTTATTTTCCTAATAGATTATAAACATTATATTTCTTAATTTTTAGATACATTTTATTTGTCAATAACAAACACTTATTGGTTTAGCTTTTTTTGTCAATCGTGAATGACACTTGGTTGTCTAAATGGAATGCGAACCTGCGTGCTCCTGTAACGGAAACTTATAGTTCTGCATACAATTGCAGTATCTTCTTGGAAACTACGGTTGCATTGCAAAAAGTTCATAACACGCCTCTCGGGCTATCTTTCGGGAATAACGACGCCCTCCCCTTAAAGCAAGATCTGGTGTAGCCCAATTGAGGTCAGTATACAGTCGTGTGTTGAACAATTCCTTGTCACTTACCAATTGAGGATTGAAATGTCTCAATTCTCAATGTTTATCCTAACTGCGGCTCTATCTGTCAAGATGTCGCCATTTGATTTCATGTTCTAATGCGCACATACAAAGTTCAGTTTAGTTCATATCTGGTTTCATCCCACTAAAATAGTTCGTATTGGTCTTGAGGTGGGGTGGTGAGCTTAAAATAATATCCCGCCTATCCTACTCTTGTTCTCTAACAATTCTTTATTATTTTAAAAAAGTATTTAACCCAACTATATTATAACTGATGTATATGCTTACCGAGAGAACCATATCCTAACTGTTATATAGAACTCAACGGTTCCCACAACAACAACAAAACGTTCTTTTGAATCACATGGATCTGCAAATATCTGAACGCAGAACATCTCAGACCTTACTGCCAAGCAATTTCCTGTTTCCTATTGTTACATTTACCTTAGTATGATCTGTTTGTGATCTTAGTGCATGTGTTTTAATCTTTTCTATTTAGGCTTCAATAATTTTGTACCTCAACATACTTAGAATTGATTACCCTTTTTGCTTACCGTATACCCGTTTCTGCTTTTTTAGAAATCAGTACCCTCTGTTAGCAAAGGTGTTGTTTTCTAGTTTGCCTTGGTTCTACAGGTATCTTATGACATGATATTCAGATTATTCTTCTTAAAAAGCATAGTTATTAAATAAAAAAATAAACTTTTAGATGTATAAATTAAAACTATTTTTGAAATTTTTATTTTCCTTCGTTAAAGTTTTAATAACTGAAGAGTGATTAGCTTAAATAAATAGATACTCTGTACTGTGGTGATACGATATAAACTGATATATATTTTTGGTACGAATATGGTTTTTCCTCTGGCAAATATATCGGCCTATTTAAATTTTCTGTTAACGGTTCATTTCCGGTTCGAAGTCCTGATATAAAGTTCATTCAATTCGCTTTCTAGTTTTATTAAGATTAATTGATGAACAGTTATTTTTGTAACCCATAATGTTTGTCGTACAATATTGCATAAAAACCGTTAAAAAATTTTTAATGAAGTTTAAAAATTAAATCTCTAAGTCGACTTTAGAAACCATGTTTGCAAAAATTAGTGTGAAAGGAATATCGTTCCGAATTGCACAAATACCGAAGTTTAAAAATTTAATCTCTAAGTTGAATAAAAGATACCTTTCTAAAAAAGTTTCTAAAAAAGTAGAATAAAAGATACATTGTTTATACGAAAGTAGGAGATTTCTCATTCTAAATTGATTTTGAAAAAAATTTTTAATCTCTATAATGAATAACATTTGACATTATAGATGTGTTGGATTCTTTTAAATATTCATTATTAGTATTTTTTGAAAACAACTTTTAATTTAATTGCCCATACATAATTTTTTGGACTGCAAGTGCCAGAAATTAAAACCTGTCAAATTTGAATCTTAAATTCGTGTGTTAACTCACAAAGCCATCGAATTCCCACTATTCCAAAATACATATTTTTCCAATAGCAAACAATAATTGTTCTTGGTAGCTATTTTTAGAAGTAATGCATAAACAACAGCTATTTAAATTCACTTAACTAACATATGTTATTATGAATTGTTTTACAAATTTAAGCAGTATGGTTTGTAGAAACTTAAAATAATCCGAGAATTTTATTAATCCGAGAATGAAATAAGATATGGTTCTTCTTATAAGATAACTATAAGATAAAATTCAGTTAGTTTTTTTTTATTTAAATAAAAACTTCCAAATAATTTACATTATCAACAATTCTAATATTTATTTAAAATTTTAGTGCTCTCAATATCTAATATAATTTGATTAGAACTTACACACTTGTTCTTCAAGTTCTATAACTCTTGATTACACAAAATGATAGCAGATGTGAATTAAATTTAAGGAAAATTAATTAAATTAAATTTAATCTAAATTGTTAAAAATAGAACATAAATAAAATTAAAGCTTAAAACATATATTAATCAATTTAACCATACTTTTATTATTTTATAATAATTTTTGATTACACATCCTTACATATACATATATATATATTTAAATTTAATTTTCACTTTTAATATCTGAAAATTTCGTTTTAAGTTATTTCGTTAAAAATTTGTTTTTTTCCTTTTTAAAAATTAATATTTATTGACAAAAATATTATTTACTATTAATTTAAATGTTTAGTATAAGTGTTAATTGGTGTAATTTATATGTTATACATATTGTCGTTTTGATTCTTATAATCTCTTTAGAATATCTAATATTGTAAATAAAAGTACAATATTTTCAAGTATAAATTACAGCTTAAGATAAACAGTGTTGTTTTGAGAACAAAATTAATTTCAATCAATAATTTAAATATTATATGAACATATATAATATAAATATTATATAGAATCATATAAATATTATATATAATTAATTTGTGGTATTTTTATTTAATATAAAAATAATTTTTAAATTTGTTTATACATGAAGACTAAATCGGCAGATGTGCAGAAATATTTTTAAATTAACTCTTAATTTTTATTTTATATATTCACATTATATATTTTTATTAATTGGACACAATTTCTTACTAATATATAATTATTCTTCCAAGTCAATTATTATATTTAATAATAAATAAATATCAGTTGGTATTAAAATAATATTTGTATTATATTAAATTTAAAACCAGAGACCGTTTAAAGTTAACATTATATTAAATAAAAATACCACAATTAATTATTTTCACACATTTAAATATTATTAATTTGCAACTTTTTCTAAGTTTATTAAATTATTTAAAAAATTTTTTTGACTAAGACTCTCTTACAATCTATTGGATCGATACACCCAAATATCGTTTTGATCTGTTTATCGTTTCATTTGCAGATCTATGTAAAAATGCTTTAAAAAAAAATTATATATAACTTATTTAATTCAGTTTTAAGTTCTTTAAAGTTCTTTTTTAAACAAATATTAAATACAATATATTTTTCGTTTAATTTGATTATTAAATTTAATCGTATAAATATGCAAAATTTCTTCAGTTATTGTATAAACTAAGAACCAAACGTTATTTAATCCATAGTTGCTGATCTTAATATTGTCACCAACAACTCAGAGTAAATATTTTTATATCAAAATTGAAAAATTGCTTTAACATTATATATTTTCTTTAAATATATTATTTTAAAATTACACAAATATTTTAAGACTGGGTTTGTAAATATGATATATGCATTTTTGAAATCTATACTACACCGAAACACACACAGGACATTCACTCATCATTTACTTCCAACAAGTAGGAATTTTTCCATACATCATTTTAACTGGACTCTATTGAAACGTTCTTTAGATGTACATCAAATAAAATATATATTTTTATATTTTAGTGCTTGAGATTAGATTAGATCTTTTTAATATTAATTTTGATTTTATTTTGATCGTTAACAGTTTAAAGCAAAATGACGTTAGTATAACAAAAAATTTTCTTTTACTAAATTCAGTTCAAAATCGATTATTTTCACGCAGACTGGATACTACGACAAGTGCACTTAACTTTCGTTCCATAGATACTTTTTATACTAAATATGAGTTACTTCAGCGAAAATTTTTAGAATTTTTCAGAGTTCTTTTTGGTAAGTTTACGCAATTGTTTTGTGATAAAACGCATGCGTGATGATCATCATTTCGATTCGGTTTCATTGTTCGTTGCACTGGCAGGACTTCCTTCCTTCAGCTGAGTTTGCTGCTGTGTTTCAGTCGCTGTGGCAGCAGTCACTTGCCGATCATCGACTTGCATACCTTCTGGTGGTGGTAATGGTATGGGTTCTTGCATTTTCGTTGCATCTACTGGTTCGACTGGAGTTTCAGTCGCAGCTGCATAAGTGTCTTTGGTTGTATTGTCCACAACTATTTCAGTTGATGGTTGACGTGGTACCTGATTTTGTACATTTGCTTCCATACGTTTTGCATTCTCCTCAGCCTTGGCTTCGAGTACATTAATAGATGCTTGTATGCATTTTATAGCCTCTTTTCTTGCTAAACGAATACTGTCCTTGCCATTTGTATCAATGGTGTCTAGTTTCAATAGATTACGTGTCAACATTTCATCCAAGTAGACATATTCCTTGTCTCGGCGTGTGCCTGCGAAATTCTCAACTTTTGCCATGAGATCAAGTACATCGCGTTGTATGTCCTGAATTTTATTTATAGAATCAAGTGTGTGTGGAGTTTGTGGTGGAAGGCCCGAAGGACCTAGATCTTGTGGTTGCTGTTGTGTATGAGTATTAAGTGGTGTTGGTCTTTGTTGTTGCTGTGGCTGTTGCTGTTGCTGTTGTGGTTGATTAAAGTGTTGTTGATTATATTGTGGTTGTTGTTGTTGCTGTTGCTGTGTGTAGTGTTGTTGAGACTGATTGTTTGGACCTGCTCTGGCGTTAGCCGATGCATTAGCTGATACATTGTTACCATGTTGATTTGGTATGTCTTTATGTGAATTAATAATAGGCTCTGAACGTCCTTCTACAAATATTGGTATAGTACGTATATAACTGCCACCTGGCGTTTGTGGTGGTGGTGGTGTTGCTTGCTTTTGCTGTGGATGCGCCTGTTGCTGTGGATGCGCCTGTTGCTGTGGATGCGCCTGTTGCTGTGGCGGATAATAAGATTTTTGTATTGGTACATGCTGTGTTGATGGATTGTTATGACTAGTTTGGGTACCGAAACTTGGACGTCCACTTTGTGGTGGAGGTGTGGGACGGTTATTGTTAGCTGCCATTTGTTGTTGATATTGTTGCTGTTGTTCTGGTGGTGGAGCTGAATGTGAACGTGGACCATGATTTTCATTTTCGTTTGCAGATTTAATGCCCATATCCATGGTATTACGTAAACCATGTTGATTCAAATTATCTGTTTGCATTGAAACATTAGCTGCACTATCGACTTCGCTCCGTTCTCTAGGATCATCAGTTTGTATGGCTGCATCACAAAGTGTTTTCGATGGCGATTGCGGTACGGTAGTATAGGATTGTGCTCCACTTGGTGGTGCATAATTTTGATAATATTGTCCTTGTCCACCGGTTGGCACCTGATGATGACTAGGTACTGTACCAGTACCAGTACCAGTACGACGATGTCCAAATCCTTCTGGTATATATTGCCGAAATTCTGATGGCAAACGGTTAAAAAAATCACGATCATCATTCATATGATGTTCATTACCAGCACGACGACGTCCCAATGTACCAAATTGTGGAAAATCAAAATCTGCTAAAAATAAGTTTATTAATTAATATTGTTAAATGTATGTTTGCTATATAGAAAAACTTACGAGAACTTCCAAAGCTACTGAATGGGTCATGGTGCATACGACCCATACGACTACGAGGAAACATATCCATGTCCATGTCCATATCTATATCTGGTTCAAAACCGAAACCCTGCTGAAAAATAAAGAAAAAAGAAAAGTTAATAATTGATATTTGTTTAAATAATAAATATATATATATATCGAAATAATAATGAATCGTATACATATAAAGTTATTTAAGGAAGAGAGGAATCTTTTATAGATAATATAAAAATCACAATTATGATAATAACTAATATTGTACTTTATAGATTAATCGAAATTTTCAGAATAATATTTCAAAAATAGATTCTTTTTATTAGCTTATGAGCATGTCTTTAAAGCAACTTCTTAAACATATAAGAGTATTTTTTAGCTTATATATTTTTATTAAAATAATATTAGTTTTTTAGAGAATTCTTTTTTATACATATTTATTTATATTTTATTTATATTAAGTATTTACAAGTTTTAAAAATTTAACAGTGGCATCCATTTTATAAAATTTAATCAGATTAATCTAATTAGTTTATTAAATGATTAAATTAATTTTTCATTTGTTTATAAATTATTAAATAATTTATTAAAATTAATCCGATTAATACGATTTTTTTATTTATTTATTTTACTTTTTTTATTTTATTTATTTATTTTATTTATTCATTTTATTTTTTTATTTTACTTATGTATTTATTTTATTTATTTCTTTATTTTATTTATTTATTTATATTATTTATTTATTTTACTAATTTATTTTATTTTATTTTACTTTATTTATTATTTTATTTATTTATTTATTTTATTTTATTTATGTATTTTTTTTATTTATTTATTTTATTTATTCATTTGTGAGTTAATACTAAAATTAATATTTAAGTGAACTTAGAAAAAGAAACTGGACTACTAGGTTCATCGATATATTTATTTATTTAATTATAATGATTAAATAAACAATCAGGTATGATTTTCGGGTAGTATTATTAGGAAGTTGAGCTCACTTCTAGAGTTATCATCAGATAAAATGATTAAATTATTGATGATGAACGTAATGTGGATATGAAGTCTCTATTCCGTTCTTCAAATATATTTCTTACAAGATGATCAGGTATGATATTAAAATATAAGGGCTTATATATTTACTATTAGTCACAAGCAAAAAAAGTAAGAAGACTACTGATTTTCTAAGCATAACTATCTAGAAGACAAAGATTTGGGAAGTAATATTAAAAAAATACTAAATTTAATTTTTTATTATCACGTAAGGATTTGCTAAGTAGCTATATGGTTTGTTAGCTAAATAGCTAAGATTTCATATAATATGTGTTTAACTAAAATATAGTTAAATTATCGGTTAATAAATTTTTATATATTATAGCTTAATTTTCATTGAGATATATAACACAAAATTTCTTTACTTCATTACTACGTTACCTAAGCATGTATAAATTAAAACTAATTTTATAATAAGTAATTATTCTCTATATTAATTAAGATTGTGTATTGTATGTTTTTTTAAAAAATACTTAAATTAAAATCGAAAAAAAAATTAGATAATTCATATATAAATAAAACGATTTGTCAAAATACAGATATAAAAAGCTGAATAACTTAAAAAACAAAATTTTCATGACAAAAGTAAACAATTGATTTTAACAAGTTATTAAGGTAAATAAAATGACATCATGAAGCTGCAATTTTCTTAACAAAAAAATTAAATAAAATAAACTAAAAAAATAGGAAATTTCATGTACCGGATTAATTATTCAAATTAGCATTTTGTTTGCTCTTTTCATATATATAGTATTGTATATTTATATCTACTTGCTGAGAGAAAATATCTATATATGATTTCAAAAGAAACAAATTAAGATACGCAGATAAAATAAAAAAAATTCAATCGAGTCAAATATTTACTTCGAGTTACATAAATTTGGTTCAATTAGTAGAAGACTTATTTAAAAAAGGTGATTCACTTAATACAAAAAATAAATTACAGCCAAAAATTAGCAACAAGTGACGTCAATAAAAATCTAAAAAAAAAACAAGTAAATAAATCAATTTATTTATTAGTCAAAGTATTTAAAGCAAATGTTTGTATTGTTGGTTTTTGTGCCTATAAGGCAACTTTGTATCTCAACTTTGAAAACTTATACTGCATTTCTTATAATCGCTCTTACACACGCGATGGAACTTTTTGACGACTTTTTGATAAGAGTGACGTCAGCACAACAAATGCAGTACTTCCCAGAAGAATTGGTTTGTTTATACAATTAATAATAAGTATATATGTTAAGTATAGCATATTTAGTTTAAATTTTTATTTATTTATAAGTTTTTGTTACTTAACTATTTTTAACTAATTTTTAAAAGTTTTTTCTATTTCACGAATTTTGTTCACAAGTTTAACATTTCATATTACCAAAATTGGTTTATTTTTTTTTTATGTATTTAATTTACACCCACACTTTTTGTAGTTTTGATCTTCACTTTTGAATTATTTTAGTCGAACTGGCTTAAAATCATAAATGTTTTGGCTTTTATTCATTTCCGAGCTGAAGTGAACTTACGAGAAACTTCCACAAATCATTGGAACGTTCTGCGTTACATGAAACTGTCGTCGGATCTCACGAACTGAGCAATTTGAAATTTTTGTGTAGTTGCCAAGTAAATAAATTTTAGCCAAGATTTTTATTGTTAAGGACATTTCTCTTTGAATGGATATATATACATATATATATTGTTATTTATTGTATTCTTTCTCATTGATAAATTACTTATAATTGAAATACGTATAGTACAAGCATTAAATGCTCTAGCACTATTTTCAGTTGGTAAGATAAACATCATGGCAATAATGGCAATAAAAAACTGTTTTGACAGAGTTTTAAATAAAAATATTAAATTATTATTATTTATACAATATATTTCATATGATTTATTTTATAAAAATGTGTTCGAAAAGTAGTGAAATACAACAACAACAATTTTTATTATTATTTTCAATTAAATGAATTTTTCGCTGACGTACGGTCAGCTGTTTCGAGTATTACCAAATACCCATCATCAGTGGTCTTGGAATGATTTCTTGTATTTTTATTCGTAAATAATTTTGAGACTGCAAGTACCAGGAATCGAACTCGTGCCTTGTTAAATTTTTGATTCATTTCATTAATTAATATATATTATATTATAAACGCATGACAATTTGAATAATTTAGTACAGTAATGACAAGCAACCTATTTATGCATTGAGACAAGGTTTTCTAGTGAATAAAAATTTTATTTACAAAGATTTTAAATAATTTATTGTTTTCATGCCCAAAAGCTTTTTTAATAGTTTTGTTTTTAAACGAACTATTTGATCAATAGTTAAGTAATTATTATGTTCAGCTTTAGTGCATCTGGGAACATTTACTCTTTGATAGCTGGGGGGTGTTTGCAGAGTCCCACCAATCTCACTGACTAATTTGTTTATTCCTCATAAGCTTCTAAGATCTGCGTACCGCCTCGTACGGTTGGTGATTACTCCGAGATTAGATAGTGCTAAGAAAGGTAGTTGTCGGTTTTCAGATATAGCTTCAATGCTCTGTCCCTTATGTATTTTTGACCATATCTATTCTAAGGTCTCTTAGCATGATAATGATGCGGAGGTACCATAGCACTTTGAAGAGTCTTTGGAAAGCTAGACTTTGAGTAACTTGCAGCTTCTGGATGGTAGAGTCAGTATCTTTTCTATACGCGACACACACATAAAGTAGTGCTGGTCTAATTATCTGGCTGTAGATCAGTTTTCTGTTTGAAAAGTGGTTGTAAGCATTGCAGTGTTTTTGCAAAACTACTTCTTTTGACTTATAGGTGCTTGTGCGAAGTGAACCGGAATCAAACGTGATTCCAAGGTATTTAATGCAGTCCTTTCAATTAATCGCGATGTCACCAACTTTCACTTTCGGTGGATACTGCCTGCTTTAGATTTCTTATAGTTAATTTTTATTTTCCATTTCTGGAAGAAATCCAGGAATTATTGTCATGTGTCATGTCAGTAGGAGTTTGTAAAATATAAAGCATTTCCAAAAAATAAAAAAATAAAAAGTGTATTATTTAACTATTGACCAATTAGCCCGTTTAAAAACAAAATTATAACAAAAATTTTATTTTAATTATGCGATAACACTCGGATCACCGACTCTTTTCTGAACAGCTTAATTTCATGCCGCTTGTAGTTGAAAAATTATATACGGACTATTAAACCTCTAAATATATCCAAAGACCACTTATGATGAAAATTTGGCAATTTGAAACAGTTGTATGGTCAGCCAAAAGTTTATATATTTTAAATTTAATTGTTCTAGTTAAAATTAAACCTTCACTATAAAATTAATTATTAAATTTTTCTTCAATTTTAAAATTTAATATAAATATAATTTATATATAAAAATTATTCATTTAACTAACGATTCAAAAAAAATTCTATAATCTAAATAAATAAAATTATAAATATAAGAAATAAATTAATGTTTTGTAAAACATCTGTTGTCGTGAATAATAATTTAAAAGTTATATGGCATTCAGACTCTTTTAATCGGAGTTTTACAAAATATACTAAAAGTGCACATATATTTATTTCTAATATGAAAGTTCTAATCTTATTAGTACACGAGTGGTTGTTTTGTTTCAATCTATTTTGATTATGCGTATTTACTGATAAAAGGTATTAGAATTTAGTTTAGAATTTTTGCGATATTTAGTTTATTTTTTGCAAAAATTAAGTTAAGAAATTAAGAATTAATACGTATGTGCGTATATGATTCTGTCTTTCTAGGTGGGGCACAAAGTCTCTAAAGCAGTGGTCCCCAACTTTTTTTTGACTAAGGATCACTATGTTTTTTTTGTTTTTAGAAGGGAAAGTTTAAGATTGTTTTATGATTGTTTTAATATGCTTTATATGCTTTATCACTGGTATAATGTGTAATGAATAATATTATACCATATTAATATTATAATATGGTAGAATCAATTGTGTAAGCGGTATAAATATATAGCGCTATAAAAAAGGTATATAATTACTTAGAAATTTTTTTGTAATTATTTTCTAAT